ATCATTGTCTTTTCAAACAAATACTTATCTTGTGCTGAGTGGCAGGCCCTATTCTAGGTACTCACGACACAGGAAAAAAAAGGAGCAAGACCTCAGCCCACGGAGTTCACATCCTGGGACAAGAGGGGACGTAACTGGGTGGACTGCCAACTCTGGGCGGCGCTGGGCAGGCGCTTGGCAGAACGGGCTGCAACTTTAACGGGAACTCCAGGGGGACCTGTGACTAGACGCCCGGGCACGAGTCTGCAGGAGGGAGGGGTGTGCCGACCACTCAGCGGCTCCTGGCTCCTACTGGTGGTCATCCAGGCAGATCTGCAGTTTGGGGGAGGTGGTGGGTGTGCCGACCGCACCCCGGCCCCACTAGGCAGATCTGAACATGAGTTTGGGGGCGGAGGGGGTGTGCCAACCGCACCCGCCCCCCGCCCCCACTAGGCAAATCTGGGCACGAGTCTGGAGGCGGCAGGGGTGTGCTGACCACACCCCAGCCCCACCAGGCAGGTCTACAAACGCTCGGGGCCAGCAAGGTGCCAGCAGAGGCCCAGAGCCCTCCACTGTAAAAACGAGGAGCCATGTCTTGGGTGAGTGGGTGCTGGTGCGGGCCGTCACCCGCCCCAGGGTACCTGTGTACTCCTGACACACGGGGCTGAATAGCATGCCCAGGTCCTGCTTGTCTGGACACCACGCGGCCTGGCTCCAGAGCTGCTATCTGTGGTCCCTGGGCTGCACATCCCAGACATCTGAGCGAGGTCCTGCTTTAAAATGAAGCTCTTGGGCCTCCAGGCACTGCCCAGGAGTCCACAGGCTGGCCAGGGCCTCACTTCCTGGTCAACTGCTCTTCTATTCTGATGCCACAGGCCGATGTCCATGGCATCTTTCCAAGTCTGGCTATCTCAGGCATCTGCCACCACCCCTCCACTTCCTTACTCACCCCGTGGTCCTGAAGACAGAGGCAGGACCGGATGCCCTGCTCGGACCCTTCCCACTTCCAGAAACTATGCTGGAACCAGCGCTCTGACCGCCCCACAGGATGCCACCACCTGGCACCACCTGCCTCGGAGTGGATGCCGACTCTGCCTGGCTCTCTCAAAGCTGAAAACCAAAGAATGAGCTACAAGCAGCCCTCTCTGTGAGCCTCACCTGGACAACAGGGGACCTGAGCAGTCGGCACCTGAGGGGCAGGGCCGGCACAACCTTTCTCTCTAAGAGCTACAACCCTGCACCAGGGCCCAGGCAACAAGCAATTACAAACCAACCCACAGCAGGACACCCTCCAGTCTGGCTGCCCCCCAACCTTCCTCCCTTCCAGCCCTGGGGAGGGGGAGGGGAACTGGGGAAGGGGAGGCTGCCAGGCCAGTAGGGAGGTCCTCACACAGAGGCTAAGGAGGAGCCACGGGGACAGGTGTCTATGGCAACTGCTTGCTCCTCTTGTCTGAGGGCTTCACTACCGTTCTCAGCCTCCGGGAGGAACAAGTGCTATGAGAAGCACATCTGTGCATCTGGACTCGCTCACGTTCCTGCCCACATGCCTGTGCAAGTGTCCATCCATAGCCGTCTGCTCTGCACAGTGCAGGGGAGGGGTGCTGAGAGCCACACTCACCGTCATGCACTGGAATGCTTGGCTCCTGTGCATTGTCTGACCTGGATGAGCAGGAAGTCAGCACCAACTAACTGCTACCTGATTCTCAGGAGCAGGACAACACTCTGGCCCTGCCGGGTGTCCGGCCTCACCTCTGAAGTCATGGAGTCCAGAGGAGAGGAGGAAAAGTGTGGTCATTGTCTTCATGTCCTAAATAATTTAACTGTTCTAGAATATTCCTTTCCAAACTTATTATATGGAGAATAAAAATGCCAATTCCAAGAGCGCAGAATTGAAAGGAAGGGCATCGGCGCCTTGGCAATGGGTGAGTTTCCATGTAGTAACCTCAGTAAAAGTAACCCACCTACGTTTCCACTAACATCATGTGGATACCAGCTGCCAGACCTTCTGGATCTAAACAACTCAGGACTTGTGGGGACGATGACTGCTTCCAGCAGACAGACAGACAAGGAGGATGTGGGTGCGCAGCAGGGAAGGCAGGCTCACAGTCCTCTCAGACAGGCTTGACCTCTAGACTCAGCTTGGCCTGGCGAACGTGCATCTGAACACGGAAGGGACAAGAGGCCCAGCTGCAGCGCAGCTGCAGGGCCTGACGGCTGGAGGGCCTGACTCATCGCAGTCGGCAGCGTGATCAGCACAGGGGCTGATGGGAGGATTTCTGGGGCAGGAAGCAGGCCTCATGTCATGCGTCTCACAGTACAGCTCAGGAACTCCTTCCGGGGGGAGGTCATTTACAGCAGAAGAAGCACTCACAGGGACACCCGGGGAGAGGCTCTATGGGGACCTTCTCTGGGCACTTACCCATCTCATTGAAGCCTTCCTCTTTTCCACTTTACCAAGCATGACGTCCTGCTTCAGAGGGGTCCCCCCTGATAATACGTCCAAAGTGTGCAGGCCCAAGTCTGGCCTTCTCTATCTAAGGAGCATTCTGGCTGCACTTCCAAGACAGATTTGTTCATTCCGGCAGTCCACGGTGCATTTTACATTCTTCACCAACACCACATTTCAAATGCATCAATTCTTCTTCAGTCTTAATTCACTGTCCAGCTTTCACATGCGTATGAAACAAGTGAAAATAACACGGCTTGGGTCCGGGCTATCTTATTCTTCAAAGCAGTATCTTTGCTCTTTAACACTTTAACAACATCTTTTGCCGCAGATTTACCTAACAGAATATGTTGTTTGATTTCTCCACTGCTGCTTCCATGGGTGTTGACGGTGGAGCTGAGTAAAATGAAATCCTTGACAAACTTCAGTCTTTTCACCGTTTATCATGATGTTGCTTATCGGTTCGGTTTCAAGGACTTTTGCTTTATGTTGAGGTGTGATCCTTACTGAAGATTACAGTCTTTGACCCTCATTAATAATTGATTTAAGTCCTCTTCACTTTCAGCAGCAAGGTTGTGTCGTCTGCATATCGCAGGTTGTTAGTGACTCTCCCTCCAATCCTGATGCCACGTTTTTGTTCATATAGCTCAGCTTCTCGGATTATCTGCTCAGCATACAGATTGAGTCACTATGGTGAAAGGATACAGCCCTGATACACACCTTCCCTGATTTTAAACCATGCAGTATCCCCTTGTTCTCTCCAAACAACTTCCCCTTGGCCATGACATTTAAAAGGATGTGCAAACCAGCCAGCGCCAGGCAACGAAGCCTGGGCAGCCTGTCTGCATGTGACTGTGCGCGGAGGCCACTGGAGAACTTGGTCGAGGGCTGGTCTGGAGAAGGAAGGGACCCAGTGCAGACACGGCTGGGGTGTGTGCACCTGCTGACACAATACGTCCCGACCGAGCCCCCCCCCCCCCCCCCCCCCCCCCCCCCCCCCCCCGCCTTCTCCACCAGCCCGCCACTGCTTCAGGCTTCGCAGGCTGCTTTCTCAGTGGCAGCTCGACTGGCCCATCTCTCCAGGAGCCTCTGAGTGGGTGCAAGCCACCAACCTACTAGCTGGTGCTTAACCATCTGTGCCCTCCAATGACTCCCCAGAAATGTCAGGTGGTCCTCGGCGCCTCCCTTTCCTGCTCGCCCCACATCCAATTCAAGGACGAACCTGCCTGGCATGCAGCCCTTGTCCCTGACCCTACCTGTGCCACCGACTGCTTCCCACCAGCTCTGCTGGCCTCTCCCGGCTCCCCCACGACCAACGCGCCACCCAGCTGCCAACGCACCCCGAGCAAAACAACCGAGGCCGGGCCTGGCTTCTGTTAGAAACTGCCAGCAGCTCCCATCTGCAGAGTGACAGTCGCCGCAGTGGCCGACAAGGCCGTGACCTTCTGCTGCAGTGGCACCGGCAGGCTCTGGCCCTGGGCCTCTGCCCGATACCCTCGCTGGAAGGCCTTCGCCAGGTATGTGCCCTGGTACCTGCGCCTGCCAGTCTCCCCCAACCAATCAGCCCCTGAACTCGGAGACCTGCTCTTCCCTGGAGGCTCTCTTTGGTGTAATGTTCATCACCTTCTTCCAAACCCAAGCACTCAGCTCCCACAGGGCGGGCTCTCGGTTTTGTCTACAGGTGCAGCCCACCCCAGATGACACGTATCTGCTGAATAAATGAGGGACCGTCTGTTCAGACTTTCAGATTCTGAACGAGGAGGAGGACCCGGAACCCAAGGCAGCACCGCAGCCAAGGTGACCAGGTCCCTGGGAGGTTAATGCGTCAAGCTGATTGCTGAGCTCGCTACCTCGACAGAAGCAGGTAGGTGCTGTGGCAAAGATGGAGGCTGACTCATGTACCGAATCCCCACACACGAGAGAGGAAATGGCAGACTCTGTGGAGAACAGACCCAGAACTGCCAAACCACACGTCTGCACGGCACAGGCTGAGCTCGCAGGGTGCGTGCCGGAGGGGCCTCTCACTGAGTGAGACGAGGGCTGTCCGTGCTCAGGACGGAGGCCCAGGCCTCCACCCCCTTCCCGCTGCTGTTCAACAGGACGACGGGCCCTAGTGACTGGCTTCATCTCTGTCTTAGATGCAGGATCAGGAGACAATGGAGATTTGACTGAGAAAAAGTGAATTTTTAATTATCTCGGAATCTACTTAGAAAAACACACATGAGCAATGTTCACAACTATAAATTTAAACCTTTTGCACTAAAAAAACCACAGAACAAACACAAAACCACAGTGGTGAACTGTAAACCTGTATTAATCATCAACAAGGCTTAAGGTTAATGCATCATCATAATTCCGTATTTTCCTCCTTGGCAATTTGAGTGTTTTAGCACCAATGGTCTCCCACAGGGGGACTCGTAACCACCCGGCTCCCAGGCGCACTGCCCCACACACCGGCCGCGTGCACCCTCGGACAGGAGGGGTGGCGTGGTGGAGACCATGTGGGGGCGGGTATGTCCCACGTCTTTAATGTAGTGCATGGATAGAAAAAAGGCCAGCTCTCGCACCTGGACGTGCGCTCATTCTCAGACTTTAATATCATGATTCAGAAGATGCAGCATTACTGCCTGAAGATTGTTCTAATTCCCGCTCAGTGACAGGGGGACACCTCAACGGCTACTGTGCTTACGCTGTCCTTGCTGGGACGCTGCCACTGGGTCACAGCTTCAGCTCGTTGGCGATTTTGGAGGCGATGTTTTTGAAGGCTATGGACGTCCCTGAGATCCGCTTGAAGCGCACGCCGTTGAGAGAGAGTCGGGGCAGCTTGCACACCTCCATCTCCCACTGCACCAGGCTCTCGGCGTGCCCGTCACCGTGGGCACACAGGAGCAGGAAGCGCTCCCTCTGCTCGTAGTCACAGGTGTTGGCATCCAGGACCTTGCGGATCTCGCGCATCATGTCACTGGGGTCCATGGAACTGGTGGTCTTCATACTCCAGGTGAAGCGCAGGGAGCGAGGCTTGGCGTCTCTGTTGTCATCCTTCTGCTCAGCAGACACATTGCGACTAGAATGTACAAGGCATGGCGAGTTTTAGTTGCACAAGAAAATCAAATTGGCTGCTTTATGAATTCAGCAGCCAGCATTGAGTTCACCTCACTGTCCTGCACCTGGCAGCCTGTGGGACTGAGCCCAGCCTGCAGCCCCGCACCCTGCCGCCCGCGCCTCTAGTAACAAGAGGCACTCCTCTTCTACCTGTTTTCCCCCCAAGGCACAAGCATGCTCGCAGAACTACTGGGCCGGTGCGTCGTCACCAGCCACTTTGTACTGAGATTAAGAAAGTAATTTGCCAAACAGGATTTGGCCTGCAGACCTTGTGCAATGGCTTCGTCTAGTCCTCAGTTTACCCAAGAGGCAGGTGTTGGGGGTGGGGTGGGGTCTGGCGCCCAGCACTTCTCTCCTACCGTGACGTTTCTTTTTTATTCTGTTTATTATAACCCAGCCTGTACCTGTGGCCACAACACTTGCGGATTAAAACCACCCCCCTGCAGGCGGCAGGTGGAGAAGCTGCTGGACGCAAAGCAGTGTGGGTACAGGCCACACGCTCACTCACCCTGCCTGGTGGCTTCCCTTTCTCTAAACTCTGCCAATTGAAACTTTCAATTTCACAGTCTGAAAAACCCCAGCTGGCAGTATCTTACTCCTAAGAAGAACTTGGTAAAGGCCCTCTGCCTGCTGAAGCCGTAACGTGGCCTGGTTTGTGGCAGGCAGAGCCCAGGCGGGAAACCCCAGAGCACAGCAGCTGCAGCTGACCACGTCTCATTCTACAGTCGTCCCCACCACGAGCCGTGTAACCATTCTCATGCCTGTGTCTGGATGCTCAGTGGGGGCTGTGAGTACCCACACTCCTGTGCACCAGACACCAAGGTGTCCAGCATCTAAGCTGAGCCAGATCCATGGCAATTCCACCCAGTGGAAGCCAAGGGCAGGCCGCAGGTCTTAGTGCACACACAGCCCTCCCTGTCCCATCCCACAGGAGCTGAGGGTGGGCCGCAGGTCTCACTGCGCACACATCCTGCTAGCAGACTACTCAGTTTGACTCTACCCACCAGAACACATTGGAAGTTTCCTATACACTAATGCTGTGTAAGCTACCGAGCAGGTTACAGAAATGACACAGGCTCTCACAGCCGAGGAGAGGGAGGGCAGGCGCAGCATGCTGGAGCGGTGCAGGGACGCAGGTGCAGAGCCCACCTAGGGCAAGCACAAGTCAAGGCCAGGTGGGGAGGAAAAGGCTTCCTGGGGCGGACTGCGAGGAGGACAGACTGCAGGGACAGGCTCAGGGCTGACAGGGTTGCACGGGCATGTGCTGGGGCCTGGCCAGGGCAGCCCCAGTGCCAGGCGCTTACCTGTGCCAACACACCTTGATCCTCACGGAACCAGAGGTCAGCCTACTGGTACCCTCCCGTTACGGGAGCCTTAGAGTCTGCTTGGGCTTGGGGTGGGAGGAGTGGGATGGCCATGGCCACTGTGCTGGAGGCCTGGCAGACAAAGTGCACCAGGCCACGGGCACCAGGGGTTTCCCAGAAGGGCAGCAGGAGAGGAACTGTGCTCTGGAAAGCGGGAGAGCCCGCATGGGCTGCAAGGGCTAACGCAGCACATCAGCAAGAGCTCGAGTGGGTGAGACACAACCCGGGAGACACCGAGCCTCCTAGCCCACGGGGCAAGCCCCAAACCCGGGCAGTGACAGCCACACAACACTGAAAACCAAACGTCAGCTGTGTAATCCACTCTTACAAAACCATATTTAATCCGCTACAGAAAACCGTACTAGCATTCTGGCTCCAGGCCGTGCGCACTGGGCAGAAGGCCGGCAACACGCCAGCGCCCTCACGTGGCCAAACGGGAAGCAGCACGGCCCCGGCTGCCCTGCAGCGAGCTGACCTCCCGGGGCCCCGCGAGCGCCGGGCCCGACGCAGAACACTCAGCAGCAGGGTCCCCGGTGCCGCAGGAGCGACGCCAACACCTACAAGATGTTTCAAACAGAGACCCTTGGCCTCACCTTGAGCCCTCGTATCGCCCGCGCCTCTCACACTCAGCTGGAAGCCTTGATGGAAAGAAGGGAGAAGTGGGAGAGAGACAACACATCTTACACACCGCACACAACACCCACGTGTGAACACACAAATGCCATGCAGTCAACACGCAAAGCTCCCGGGTGACCGACTCCCTCAGGCCTCCCGCTCTGGGTTCGGGTCTGACTGCCCTCCCAGTGTCCGTCCTAGCCTGCAGCCCAGGGGCTTTTCACCACTCTACTGTGTGACAGGTTCCAGTAAGAAGGAAATGAGCCTGGTGGCTGAATTACATACTTCACTTCAAAATATTCTGTCCAAGCAGAAATTTGGCAATGGGCAGATCATGGAAAACCTCATCACAGGGTGGCATGTGCGACAGGAGGTGGCCCTTCTCTGGCGTTAATGAGGGGCTCCTGTGACCGCTGGTCTCTCACCCATCAGACACAGAGGTCTGGCCTCTGAGGACAGGGGAAAGACAAAGGCATTGGGCAGCCCAGGGTGGGTTTTCTGCCTTGTAAGGGCGAATTCTAAGACAGAGCCACATTCCTGGTTCCTCAGGTGTCATCTCCAAAAACCCTCCTCTGTCCCAATTGTGTTTACCACCACAGTTTAGGTACAACACAATGGCCAGGCTCGCTCTGGTGGCCACAGTGACCATCAGACAGGATGCTCTTGCTACTGACTCTTCAGCCTTCTGAAAACATTAAACCACTTCTGTTTCGGCAGCCGCCCACATCTTCGTTTCTGAAATACCAAACCCAGTGAGGCCAAAAGTGTGTACTTTATGCTGGTTTCCAGTTTGGGGCTATGAGCCACCTTCCTGTCATTTTAAAGTCCTTTGGTAAGCCAGTGCTCAGGCAATAATGACCCAGGTGAGTGGCACTTACCTTCTGCACGCTGCGGCTAGGCAGTCATGTACACAATGTTACCGAACATGCCATCTTCCAAGAGGAGCATGCCAAGTGTCATTAGTACAGAGAGCAAACGGCCTGGATGGGACCAATTCTCCCAGAAAGAGTGCACGGAGCATGCACAGGTCTGCGCCCGCGGCCCGCCCCACTGAAGGCCTGACAGAGTTAATGTGCTTCTCTCCAGCTTCCTTTCACAGAAGTAAGTATTTAGTTTTCAGCAGAAAGTTTAGTTTTTAAGGAACAAACAGGGCTAGAAAGCCAAACCTGATGTTAATTGCAGGAGCCCAAATGGGGGTGAGGATCGAAAAACAATGTGCCCATGTAAATCCTACCTTTTGATAAACCTGAACGACATGTTTCTAAAAGAAATTAAACCAAAAAAAAAAAAAAAAAAATTAACAAAAAACGGCTTGCACAAATTACACAGAAATGATAGTCAATTACAGCAAGAGAGGAAACAGCACGGAAGACAGGGCTCCCATGCAGGCCAATGACAGTGACAGTTCAACCAACAGTGATGTGGAGAAAGGTCAAAGCCCTGTGGAATGGCATGAGGGTGTAATCCTGAGCAGAAACGGAGTGCCAGCAGCAAACTCTGCCAGCAGCTAGAGAACTCCAACAGATCTTCAGAACTACATAAAACCCAAAGAACCAGGCTGCTGCCAGCGAGTCGATTCCGACTCATGGCGGCCCTCCAGGACACGGCAGAGCTGTCCTGAGAGTTTCCAAGGCTGTGATTTTTGTGAGAGAGAGCCGATGGCAAGGTCTTTCCTCCTGTGGAGTTGCTGGTGAGATCAAACGGCCAACCTTGTGGTCAGCAGCTGAGCGCTAAGTTCCTCCAGGGCGTCTCACAGACAAAGGCTGCCCTCATTGCACATGAACCTTCCAACCTCGTTAGAAGATGTTCCACCATGACAGGGTCATCGTTTAGCTCAGGAGGGTAGCCTAAGCAGTATCAGCAGAGGCTTGTTGTCGTGGAAAGAGAAATAACTTAAAAAAATAAAGTGGACTTTTAAGAGTTTTAGATCCCAAACAAAATGAAAATTAAATAAGGTAAGTGTGGGTTTCATTTTTATGTTTTATGCAATAAAGCAGAAGAACTGTATTTGAAAGAAGTGACTCTGTTCATTAAAGAAACTGGAGGGGATGCCTGGGTCATGTGACCACGCCATCTGCTCCCAGGGTGGCTGGGCTGGTTCACCTGTGTTCTGAGGGCAGCTCTGAAGCTGGGCACACAGCCCTCAGCACACATCTGCCGAGTGACCCATGGGCTCATGACTCTAATTCAGGGTATCTTTGCAGTTGCTTTCCGTCGAAGATGCATAAATCCTGTAAATAACTGTTAACCACATGGGCCATGCTACTGTAATCTGTAACCATCTAAACCGTGTTCACTACGAGAGAAGAAGGGGTACACAGTGAGGCTGTGGCCGTACACCTTCCAGAAGGCTGTGTGTGTGACAGCACCACATGCGCAAAAGGCGATTTTAGTTGAAAAATGGTTATTGCTGTCAGCTGCTGTTCTGTCTACTCAAATCCTGGCCTGTGACCTCTTGTGAGGTGCCTCTGGGGGGTCTGAACCCCCAGCCTTTCAGCCGCAGAGCACCTAACTGTCTGGTCAGACACACTCTGACTTCATCTGCTGCTCTGGGGGAAGGCAAGGCTTGGGTGTGTCCCTCCTTTCCCGTCCCAGGGCCTCTGAGGTAGAAAGTGGACACAGCAGGTGGGGGGCCACACTCGGCCTGGCCACAAGAACCAATCTGAGGTGCCAGCACCTGGGGCCTGCCTGTGCCTGACCACGTGGCTACAGGAGGCAGGCTTTCTGAGGCCACACTGTGTCTCCCTACAGCCCCTCATCCTTCCAGCATTGAATCCAGCAGCAGCGGGGCCCCCAGGACGTGACTGCAGACTCCAGCCAACACAACAGACTATGTCTCCAGTAACCTGGGTGCAGGCTTCCCTGGAGATTAACATAAGAGGACCCCCACGTTTTCTGTAAACAAGCAATCTCAGTCTTCAATTTCCACTCAAATAATGTGAAATAAATGTAATTAGAAGAGGGAACAGGACTCTGTCTGCAGCCAGCTTTGATGGGGTTTCCTGTGGGGGTATGGAGTGGGCCCGGGGGGAGGGGAGAACGAGGCATACTGGGGGGGGAAGGGGGGGAGCACAGCACGGGCGCGGGGAGGGGGAGAGGAGAGCACAGTGTGTGTGGGGGAGCACGGGGCGGGCCTGGGGTGGGAAGGAGAGCGTGGGGCAGGTGGAGGGGAGGAGGGGAGCACGGGGCGGGCGCGGGGAGGGGGAGAGGAGAGCACAGTGTGTGTGGGGGAGCACGGGGCGGGCCCGGGGTGGGAAGGAGAGCGTGGGGCAGGTGGAGGGGAGCACGGGGTGGACCCTGGGGGCCTCTCTTGGAGGCAGACAAGCTAACGCCCTCCTCAGTCCCCTCGCCTACAGAGCCGGGGACAGCCACCCTGGGGCCGGGCCGGGGGGAACAGCATGCCCGCAGCAAGCAGTCCCAAGATGACAGGGTGCTCTGTCGATGGCTGCATCGGGAGCAAAGACAAGCAGAAAGGAGGTAATCTGACGACGTGCAGGAATGAAAGGCTGGGTGAGGTTCTGCCTCCCAGCAGGCAGGGTCCGGGGCTCACAGGGAAAGCAGGGGGCGCCCTGGGGAGGCATCTGCCACCCAAGTGCAGAAGCCGATTCTATTCAACCGGGTCCCCAAGAAAGGTGCAGGGGACAGGGCAGCCGGACCCTGAAAGGAACTGAGAATTTCCCTGGTCAGCAGACTCCTCCGGGACTGAGTGCCGGGCTCTGCTTGGGCATGAAGGGGGCCCACCCTGCCAAGTCCCTTGAGGCCCTACTGCTCACCTGCCCCATCTGGTGTGAGGTTGAGAAGAGAACGGGGGGGCCCTCCCTGGCTCTCACAGCTCCCCCTAAGTGACTGTGGGGGAGGCACAGTTGAGTCTGGACAGGCACACTCGGGTCACCCCATACATGCAACCTCCAGCTACCCTGAGGTGAAGAGGGTTTCTTCTGGGGGAGTCTGGGGACCCCATATTCTGGGGGTGAGACAGGATGCCTTGTGTTACTTGCATATGGGGCCAAGTGGTGTTTTCTTTTCCCTCCTGAAACAGCCAATACCACCAGTTTGTAATCTCCAAAGAGAAACCTACTTAACGTTCCTTTGAGCCTTCCAGGGCCCCAACTGACAGTCTGTATAATATTCCCACACTTCAGATCCCAGCTCCTTCTGAGAGTGACCCAGGGTTTTTCCCTGCAAAACCAGTGAAGAAAGTTGCTGTGTGCCCAAGCCATGCCCTGAGACAGCAGAGAAAGGCTCTGACAGGCTCCAGCCCTCCTGCCCCTCCCTGCTTGTGGTCCCCACAGTGCGGCCCACGGGCCTTCCTCGGGACAGCTCACTGAGCATGCCGGTCCGGCCCTGGGGTCTGTGACCCTGCTGGGAGCAGCCACCGGAGCAGGCGTGCTCTGCAGAGCAGACACAGGCGAGCGCCCACACAGACCATGCCCTGGAGAGAGCCCGCCTCCACCCACCCTGCGTGTCCTGCAAGGTTTCGAGCTGATGTCCTGGAGGAGCAGCAACTCAGGAAACACAGAAGAGAAGAGCACGGGCCTGGGCAGCCGGCACCGTCCTGGCCTCGTGCCACCGCCTGCTACGCGTTCAACTCCAGAGCAAGGTGCACTCGGCACTTACCTCCTGGTTAGTTTTGAAGTCAATTTACTAAAGAGATTCGTGGAGCCCCGGCTTCGAGTCTGGGACAAGGGTGTGGCTTCGTGGGATAGGCTGGGTGAGGCAGGCGGACCATTGTATGTGGCTGTCCTTCGCTCCCGGGGCTGGCCGTGGAAGGTGCTGCGACTGGCGGTCCCTCTGGGGAAGTGGACGCGGTCAGGGGTGGCCGCAGCGCTGACACTGTGTGCCGAAGCAACTGGAGCACTCTGGTCAGGAAGGCCGCTGTGGGAGAGGACGACACGCGTGCACATCTTCATCATGGACCCTGGCGCTAGGAACCCCACGGCACGCGGGACTTTATACACAGGGGAGGAGCCCATTCTAATAAACCCAGCCTTGGGGGTGGGGTGGGGGCACATGGTATTTATGGGTAAGTTAAGGGGGAGAGGGCGAAAGGATGCATGGACGACATGGGACTTAAGCCTTGGGACTTAAGGGGACAGGAGAGACACGTTTGCAAAGACCAGAAGAACACAGGGAAAATGCTCTGATGAGGAAGAACTAGCTCAGAGCCCCCACTCCCCTCTCAAACTGCCGCCACATGGAGGCCTTCCTGTGGAAGAGCCAACCAGGAGTGCAGCTGGAGCTGAAGAGCAGGCAGGTGGCCAAGGATGTGACCACAGGGTTCCAGGTGCTGAGAGCAGCTGGAAGGGGGAGAGAACGTCTTATGCCCTCTATGATGCACAAAGGGAAAAACACCCAGACGGCACCCACGCCGGGGACGGCACGCGCCGAGGGGGACAGCCACACGGCACCCACGCCGGGGACGGCACGCGCCCAGGGAGACACCCACACGGCACCCACACCGGGGACGGCATGAGATGAGGGACAGACAGACGGCACCCACGCCGGGGACGGCACGCGCCGAGGGAGACACCCACACGGCACCCACACCGGGGATGGCACAAGATGAGGGACAGACAGACGGCACCCACACCGGAGGACAGCACCGGGGGACAGCCAGACGGCACCCACA